AGTAAAATGCACGGAAGCAATTATTTGTTCTCCGTACCTCGCCTTTCCCCTCCGTGCACGGACCCCTGGCAGCCCGCACGATCCTTGTCCTTTGCACTTTATCTTCACAACAGCCCTGTGAGGAAGGTTAGGCTGAGAGTCAGCGGCTGGCCCAGAGCCCCCCGTGGGCCCCACGGCTGAGCGGGGGCCAGGCCCTGCTTCTCCGGAGTCCCAGCCCCGCACGCCAACCTCCACGCCAGCCTGCAGCTGGGACGGCGGGCCATCTCAAGGGGCCCTGGAGGCCTGGCCCCTGCTCCGCTGGCGTGGCTCGAGGCAGCCCGATCTCTGCTCCCGGAGCTGCTCTCCAAACGCCTCCCCTCCTTTGCCTCCTACGTCTTACTAAAAAAAGGTCTCTCGGATTTATTTCGCTCACGGCACTTTTAAACTGCTCAGCAACCTAAGCTCTCTGGGCAACGTATGGTGCATAATGAAGCAGTTAGTCGAAACAGAACATCAGGAATGCAAGATAAAATAAACAGCAGGTAATGGAAGCACCGAGCACATACCAGCCGGGGAAACCCTGCCTGCTGCCAAAGAGGGGGCTCCACGGCCCGGAAGCACTGAAGGCAGTCGGTGGGACGGTGACCCCCATTCAGAAGGGGCCCCCCGGAAAGGGCCCCGCTCGCGCAGCCACCTGCCTCGCCTCGTACGCATGGGGGGCCCAGGTGGGGCACTGCCAGAGAGCGCCTGGCCCTGGCTGCGTGGTGCTGGGAGGCGAGGACGGCACCCTTAGCCAGGCTCTGGAATGGAGCGGACGGGCAGCCCAGCCGGCCTGTCCCAGACCAGCGCTGCCCCGGAGCTTTCAAAAGCCCCTCGTGCAACGAACTCGGCCCCGAAGCAGAACGAGAGGCCCCGGAGCGTGAGCAACGGCTGCGGAGCTGAGTCCGTCTGCTCTGCCGGGCTTGGAGCGGAGCGCCCCCAAGGAGCTGCCCCTGGCCGGACACTGGAGCTGCCGCTGCAGCCCCCCCCCCCCCCGCTTGCCGTTGGCCTTTCCTGCTGGACTTCTGGAGGCTCAGCAGGTGTGCAGTCGGGACGAGTCTGCGCCTGCTTGGTGGCACGTGGCGCCGGAGGCGCATCCCCTTCCGCCGTGGGCCGGGCACCTGGAGGTGGCAGCGTCCCCCAGAGTTCAGGCCGCGTCTGAGGGACCCGCTTCATCACCAAAGGGAGGCTCCCTCGTGTGGAGGCGTCGGCAGCAGACGCGGGACGAGTCTGGGCGATCTGAGCAGCCGGATGCGATGAAGCACTCAGCTCAGCCAGCAGAACTGCCAAGAGCCCTCCAGGCAGCGCGAGTCCCCAAAGCGGCAGGTGAGGCCTGCTTCCCTCCCTGCCTCCCCATGAGGCAAGGCTGCTGCTGTATCGCCAGCCCAGGCTACTGAGCAGGTTTAACAGAAGGCTTCCCTGAACGCCTTAGAAGCAGAGCGAGCCAGAAGGGGCCTCCCGGGCCATCTAGTCTGACCCCCACCCCAGCCGGCTCCGCTCACGACACGCCCACCATGCGCACGTCCAGCCTGTCCTCGAACGCCCGCACCGAGCAGCGAAGGTGCCGCCGTGGTGGACCCGCCCACAGCACCTCCGAGCACCGGCCACGTGCCCAGGGTGCCTGGAGCGGGGGAGCTGCACGAGCCGAAGCGGGGGGGGGGGGCACCGCACTGGTGCGCTGGCTCCCTGGCTCAGGCGCGGGGCAAGCGAACAAGCGGGGCAACCGCAGGAGGCTCCCGAGTGCCCGCGAGCCCAAGGCCCCTGGGCAAAGCAAAGCCAGCGAATGTGCTGCTGTGCCCTGCCCCCCCTGGGGGCATTTCCGGCACACCCCCGCCCAGTTTCAAGGGCACAGAATACGCACTTCTCCCCAGGGAGGATGGCATGCACGTCCTGGCCAGCCAAAGGAAGGCCAGGTGGAAGTCGTGTGGCCAGCGAGAACGGGCAATGGAAAGCTCGCTCTTCAGGGGACGAACATATGTAGTGGCAACTGAGCAGAAAATCTGGTAATGTTTCAACCGCCCCCCCCCCCCCACAAAGGAGCAGCCAACACCCTCGCAGGGGCACGGCCGTTTTCCAACGGGAGAGCTCTTCCTCTAGCTGGGAAAGAGCTCGGGACTGTTAAAAAGGTAAGATAACTTGCTGGAACAAGTTGAAAAGCCTGCAAAGAAGGGGCCGCACCCTCCCCTCGCATCTGGATCAGAGGCCTCCGGGTCCAGTCTCCCCACGGTTCCAAAGCCGCCTCTCCGACGTTCAAGACACGAGGAGGGAAGCCCAAGGGAGATTAAAGCCTGGACTTACGAGGACTTACAATCTAATTAAATGAAAGGTGTGTGACCGCTGCCTTCCATGGGGCGCTGCTTCCTAATACGAGAGCCCGGAGGGGCCGCCCCAGGCCGCTGCATGAGGGGTCCCAGGACAGAGGACGGGAAGGCCATCTTCACTCCGCACGTGATTCCGGTTTGGAACCGGCTGCCGCGAGGGGTATGGTGGCCCCGACCCGCCGGGGGAGGAGAAGGCTACCCGGGGCTGTTTAACTCTGGCTCCAGGATTCACGGGCCGGAGGCGTCGTCATCCAACACAGGGGTAATTCCGGAGGCCTGGGGGGCCGGTGCCTGTGGTGCTGGTGGCCGACTTGCGGCCAGGGAGGTCAGGCGGAAGCTCAGCGGAGAACATTGGGTGGCAGCGGAGCTGAGCGGGCTGCTGCCTCCATCTCTGGGGCTGCCCAAAGCCCCACGTTGGGGGCGCCCCCCTGCGGCCCCCCTGCTGCTTTTGTGCACACACTGCTTGATGCAGGTGGGGGGCCCCTGGGGCTCCCTAGCCCTTGGGGTGGCCTCACCCCAGGGGCTGCGAGTGTGGGGTGGGGTGGCGGAGGCCTGATTTGCGGACAGGGTCGGAGATGCCCCAAGGCGTCTGCTCCTGGCGGATGTTCCGCTTGCGCTGCGCCACGGCACTGTGCTTGGCCATGCCTGGCCCCGCGGGTGACGCAGGGGCTTGCGCCCGGGGCGCTCGGGCCTCCCCTTCTGGCGCTGCCCGGCAGGCGAGCGGTCAGAGGCGCCGAAAATGCTTCCTCGCGCAACATGCCGCTTGTGTGCCCCATCTCCTGCCAGAAGGGGCTCTTTGCCGGGGGCTGACTCTGCCGCTTTGCTGAGACCCGCGGCTTCTGTCTGGGGGGCTCTGCCTTTCTGCATCATCCGCCTGCCAGCCGCACGGTGGCGCTCAGTGGAGCTGCCGCCCGGCAGAGTGGCCCCTTCTCCAAGGCTTTTGCTCTGCTTTGGAACTGAATACCAGATTTCTATCACCTCTAAATGCAACCCCCCCCCCCCGCCAAAGTCCGAAAACAGGAGAGGCTCTGGTTGGCGTCGAGCTGTGAAAAAGCCCTGCTACCTTGTGTGGGAGGGGTCACAAGTAAAGGTCCCACGCAGAGAGCCCGCAGGAGTGCTGAGGGGCTTGGGCCGCGATGGGCTTGGAGGGAAGGAGTCACATCTGCGGGGGGGGGGGGCTGTCAGTGGGCATTGGCAAGACAGCTCCGCGCAGCCCCCTCGGCTCCCAGGGATGGGTGCCCAGAAGGGGGGGCTCTCGCCTCGCGGCCTGGGCGGCTTCCTGGTGCGCCGCGCGGGGGCCGCTCAGAGCGGGAGGTGCCACGCTGGTGGGCGCGGGATGACTCCTCCTGCGGAGACGGAGGAAGGAGGCAGTGAATCAGCCGCCCTCGAGCAACAAGGGCGGCCCCCTGGGTCAGGCCGGCTGGGGGGCTGCGGGGCCAGTCCCATGGGGCTCCCCATCAGCACTCACGCAGAGTGCCCTGGGAAGCCTGTGGGTATCGGGGGGGGGGGGGCAAGCGGCCTGCGGTCCCTTCACAGCCCCGATCAGGCTCTCTGTCACCTTCTGGGGAAGCTCTCCTCCACATCGGAGAGGTGCTTGGGGGGCACAAGGAGGAACCCCCGTGCCAGGGCCAGGCTGTCTCAGCAGGCGTTTGGCTGGCCGGGCGGTTTTGTTGCCTGGTGTTCAGCTTTTAGCAGGTGGCTGGTCTCCTCTCTGCGCTTTCTTCTCTCCTTTCTGTAGTTTCATATCCTGTTTCATTGTTGCTCGCTGGCAGGCTGGGTCTAGCGGCGCGGAGGGTGGTTGGACAGGGCTCTCAGCGGGAGAGTCTCGTGTGGGGTTTTGTCTGAGACAGCCGAGGCCCGTTTCCAATTGCCTGCACGAACGGGAATGTGCTCCCCCCAGAACTGCACCGGAAGGCGGCAGCTCCCACCGGAGGGGTGCGGGTTCTGGATGCGAGTGGCCCTCACCTGTCGTTTCTCTGGCCTCTTTCAGGTCAGAGGTGGAGCTGGCCCCCCAGGAGGAGGTGGTGGATCGGAGCCCTCGCCTGGAGATGCCCGCCCGGTCTCCGCAGACGCGCATCTCGGCTGGGCTGCAGCAGGAGGGCCCGGGGCCCTCGCAGGTGCCCTGGAGAAGGCTGGGCCCCTCTCCGTGCCTGGCAGGCCGCGCACCACTCTCGCCCCGTCCCTGGTGATTCCTGCAGCTGCGAGGACCTGAAGGAGCCACGGCCAGCAATCCTGGAGCGGCGCTTGCCCGCAGCCCCGCAAGGGCCCCCCCCCCCAGCTTCCCGAGAGAGCGTGGACGGATGGTGGACACTCAAGCCAGGAGCCTCGCTGCTGAGAGAGGGTTGCAGCAGCGCCTCTGGAGAGACCGTGATCGCCCCGGGCAGAAGGCACCGCAGAGCGGGCGCAGAAGGACTCGCCCGGGAGTTGTGCTGGGACCCCCGCGGGCCATGACCGCTCCGAGGACGACGCGCCTCTGGGCTCCCGGAACCTGAGGACGCCCATGAACTCTTGGCTCGCGCACCGTTGCCTGGCCGGACCTGCCCCTGCGGCCGAGAAGGGCGGCCCTCCCGTCCCCCCGCCCGCAGCCGATGTAGGCCTGCCCTCGCAGCAAGAGCGGGCCCCTGGCCGCCAGGAGGGGCCGGGCAGGCCGAGCGCCTCACCATGGTGCTGCCGCCCCCGGACAAGCGGCACGTCTGCCTCACCACGATGGTCATCATGACCAGCATGGCGTTCATGGACGCCTACCTGGTGGAGCAGAACCAGGGCCCCCGTAAGATTGGCGTCTGCATCATCGTCCTGGTAGGAGACCTCTGCTTTCTGATTGTGCTGCGCTATGTGGCCGTCTGGGTGGGGGCCGAGGTGAAGACCGCCAAGCGCGGCTACGCGATGATCCTGTGGTTTCTCTACATCTTTGTGCTGGAAATCAAACTGTATTTTATCTTCCAGAACTACAAGGCTGATAAGAGAAACCTGGAGACGGTGGCCAGGAAGGCCCTCACCCTGCTGCTCTCCATCTGCGTGCCGGGGCTGTACCTGGTGCTGGTGGCCCTGGACAGCATGGAGTACATACGCACCTTCCGGAAGAAGGAGGACTTGCGGGGGCGCCTCTTCTGGGTGGCCCTGGACCTGCTGGACATCCTGGACATCCAGGCCAACCTCTGGGAGCCCCACAAGACGGGGCTGCCCATCTGGGCCGAGGGACTCATGTTCTTCTACTGCTACATCCTGCTCCTGATCCTGCCCTGCGTGTCCCTCAGCGAGATCAGCATGCAGGGGGAGCACATCGCGCCCCAGAAGATGATGCTCTACCCGGTCCTCAGCCTGGCCACCATCAACGTCGCCACCATCTTCATCCGGGCCGTCAACATGGTCCTCTTCCGGGACAGCCGGGTCTCCACCATCTTCATCGGCAAAAACATCATCGCCATCGCCACCAAGGCCTGCACCTTCCTGGAGTACAAGAAGCAGGTGAAGGAGTTCCCGCCACACGCCGTGGCGCTCGAGCTGCAGCAGAACTCCGTGCCGCACGGCCCGGCCGGCCGCGGCGCACAAGGCCTCGCGCACGAGCAGTCCCCCGCCAGGGAGGCCGTGGACACATGACGGGCCCTGGCCGGCCGGCCTGGCCACGCGCACGCTTCCTCGGGGAGCGGCAGGGAGGGGGGCTGCTCCAGCCCGGCACAGAGCGCCGCCAGCACAAGCGCTGGAGCACCCCCATCTCAGGTATTTCCTGGGGGCCCTCTGGAGGGAAGGCAAGCCGAATGAACCTTCGGGAAGCTCCTCGCCCGCACCTGCTCTTTTCTAGCCGTTTGTTACCTGTGCTTCGACATGTCAGAATGAGTCTTTTGTTATCCGTCTTTTTTAAGGTTGGACGGGGAATGGGGCGGGGGGAGAATCCGGACTGGCCCTGGACCAACGCACCTGTACAGGTGCGTCTTATTTAAAATGGTTGTGTTTACAGTTTCTTGTTTTTTAAAAAGGCAGCGCCCCCTGCTGGACCTGCCGGGAACTCCGGCGGCGTCGGACCGTTTTGCCGTCTGGATGGGCGGCTCCTTGGAGTGCTCTGGATACACGCGTCATCTTCTCACGCGTGGGTGCAAAAGCAGCGAGGCTCCCGCCTGGGCAGGAGGCTCAGCCAGCCCCACTCCAAGCCGCCTTTGGAATAAACTTGGCATTTTAAGAGTCTTTCTGATGCTTTATCAAGTGATTCAGCACAAGAGTTCTATTTTTTGAACCAGAGCGCCTCTCTCCTTGTCTCTCTCTCGTTCTCCTCTGCTCGGCCTCGTTTACCACCCTTGTTTCCGGGGCCACAGATCTGAGGATGCTGCCAGAGGATCCCAGGCGGGGGCGGCAGCCGGACAGGGCAGGGAGGAAGCAGCAGCCCTCGGGGGCTGCGGAGGCGGCTCCGTCCCAGCAGCAAGCGCCACCCTGGAGCAACCCACGCGGCCGTCCCTGGAGCGTGGCCGGGGCCCAGCTCTGCACGGGTCCCGGGTGGGGGAAGCGGCAGGCGCTACCGTGGGAGCAACGGGCAGCGCAGGCCCGGCCCCTCTGAGCCAGGACGGGGAGGACCCTGCTGCCCCCCCCACTGCGCCCTCGCCCCCGGTGCTCCCAAACCTCACAGCCGTTTTCCAGCAGGCGCTGCTGCCAGCCCGAGCTGGCAGCACTGTCGGTGGCCACGGCCCCCCGTGCGCCCCCCGCCTCCTTCAGCCACCCGGGCCGAGGCACCCGCTTGCCCTCCTGCTGCCGCACCGGCGGCCAGGCTCCGAGCAAAGCTGGGGGTGCCACCCACTGGGGGTCAGCGGCGGGGTCTCTGCAGCACAGCCCCGGGCGCACGGCGCTGGGAGTGGAGCGCGCATCGCCCCACGTGTGGGTTTCCCCGCGGGGCAGGGCTCAGTGTTTCCCAGGCTGGCCGTGGGGGAGGCAAAGGGCCAGGGCCGCTCGCGGCCACGCCAGGGTGTTGCACCGTGTGCCACGGCGCGGACGGAGGAGGGAGGCAGCCCTGGCCTTTGGGGCCAGCAAGGGCTGGATCTTCCTGCTGGCTGAGCAGCCATCTTCAAAGCACGGGGGGGGGGGGCGCACGGATCGTGCTGGGAAGTGCCCTGCCCTGGAGGAGGCAGCTGGCTCGAGGAGAAGGCGCAGCGCCATGGCCTGGCCTGGCCTGGCCGGACGCTTCCCCGAATCTCTCTCCCTGCCAGGGGCCGGCGGCTCGTGGGGCCAGGCGGCAGCTCCGGAGGCATCGCCACACCTGAAGGTGCTGAGCTCCCTGCCTGCTGGAGGGCCCCCTCGGGCAGGCCGCTGCTTGTCCAGAGAGCGAGTGGAACAGCTCCAGAGGGCCGCCTGGTTTTCCATTTTTCACAGGGTTTTCCATTTTTCCTTTGAAGAATTCTGTTTTTGTGTAATAAACAGTTCTGGACACCCAGCGAGCTGTTTTGCTTCCTCTCTGTGTGCCGCCGCCTCTGCGTGCTGCTTCCCCGGAAGTCAGTGTGGGGCTGGTCAGCGCCTAGTGCAGAGCTCCCGGCCGTTCCCAGGAGGAGCATCCCCGGCCGAGGATCCGAGGAGAGGGGAGATCCGTATCACTGAGCTCTGGCAGGAGTCCCACGTGGAGGACCGTCCCCAGCCCCTCCTTGCGGCTTCCCCCAGCAGCCCGTGTGCTGCGCTGGCCCAGGGCACGACTCCTGCGGAAATACGGCCGAGCGGGCCAGGCCGTGTGTCCACCAGCGGACGAGGAGGAAGCGGGGAGGCCTTCTGGGTGGGCCCTTCCCGGAGCAAAGGCCCAGGAAGAGCTGCGCTCTTGCGGCAACCAGCAGCACAGTCAAAAGGCTTGGCCTTGCGCGAGGAAAACTCAGCGCTGCATTCCATCGGCATCCTGAGATTTATCTATCATGTTCATTTCCTTTCTTCCTTTCAAGGAACTCGGGGCAACTTGCATGATTCGGTCATTCTCACCGCAGGCCTGTGAGGTAGGCTGGCCGGAGAGCCTGCGTCTGGCCCACCTCACCCCGGGAGCGCCGTGGCTGAGCTGAGTGGGGACCAGAGTCCCGGCCGCTCGCTCCAGCCCTGCACCCGTTCAGCGCCTTCCCTCCTGGAATTCCAAGTGTGTTTAAAGTGAGGCAAAAGGCGGGGGAAAGCGAGCTGCGGCCGCTGCAGCGGGACATCCCTGCCCTGCCCTGCCCCCAGACTGTTCCAGGGGATTGCATGGTGCCCCCGGAGCGCTACCTCTGGCTGCGGCATGCACACCTGGGGCAGCGGCGCAGGCGCAAGGGACTCGGCTCGGCAGGGCTGCGCAGAGATGGTCTTTAATGCCATGTCCCATGGAGGAAGTACAGCTCTGCTGGCGGCCCGGCCTTGAAGCTCATCCAGCCTTTCAGAGCTGGTCTGGTCGGGGCTCTGGGGCACCGAGGCGGCTCGCACCTGCCGCCGCTGGGCCTGCGAAAAGCCAGAGGGTCTGTGCCCGGGGTCCGAGCTGCTCCCCACCTGCTGCTCTCCGTGGGGTGGACCATGGCTTGAGCAGGGAGCCATGGCTCCTGGCGCACGCAGGTCTCATGGCCATCCCTGTGCCTTGTTTGCGCAATACATCGATGTGGTTTCAAAATGCAAATAACGTTGACGGTCTTAACTGCGGACTTAGTTGAACTCTTTTTAATTTGAAGAGTGAGCCTCCTCTTCCACAATTGGAGACGTGCGACCGAGGAAGAGCGCTGTGGGATCGGGCCATGGATCCCGCATCAAAGGCCTGGCGCAGGGGATCTCCCCCCCCCCGCCGCCCCACTTGGAGGGATCCTTTAGAGCCCTTCGCAATCCGTCCTTGCTTTAATCACTCTAAATAATTTGGTGGCGTGAAAAAAATTCAGCCAACTCCCTTCTCTCTCCTAACTTGAGACAATTTATGAATAGGTTAAAAAGCACCAGTGCCGGTCAGCTCCCTATGGGGACGCGTTCTGCCCCGGCAGGACTTCCACGCGTTCCACTACCCGCTCCTGCTCTTTACCCATTTACCAGCCGATGGAGGCCTTTCCCTCTTGGGCCGCAGGTGCTCGGTGTCCTTGGCCGAAAGCCCATTGGGAGGCTGAGGAAATACTGTTTCCCGGCTCATCCCTGCTGGCGCCCTCTGGCCCTCCGGAGGGCTCGAAGAGATGAGGGCGGCAGGGCTCGGATTGCCCGTGCGGGCTTGTCTGCCCCATCTCCTGCGCCGAGTCATTTTTCCCCAGTTACGCTTTCCACCAATTTACCAGGAGCAGACGCTGAGCAAGCAGGTCTGCGCATCCCCAAATGTCCCTGGATCCCTTTTTGAAAAATGAGCACTGCACGGAGCGTCCTGCAGGCTGTGGCACATTTTTGTTAGAAGAGTGGCCATTTTCTGCACACCTGAGCCTTTGAAGAACGTTAGCATCAGCCGGAGCATCTGGACCCAGTGATGCTGGGGAAAGCGCTCAGCCTGGCGAGGAAGTCAGCTCTTGTAGCCTCCGCTGCTTCAGCTCCCCATGTTCCCCTCCCGTAACCATCGCTTGGGAGCCGGGGTGTCTGCCCTGCCTGCCGCAAGGACAGCTGAACGGCACCTGTCGGTTCCGCGTCTTTGGAAGCTCCTTGTCCGCCTTAGAGCGCCGCTCGTGCCACCGTGGCCCCAGAGCCCAGCGGCTCCCCTGGCCACTGCCCGGCCTCTGATGCATGTCAGGATTCGCGATAAAGCAGGCCCCCCGCACCTTCAGGTATTATTATTAGAACATTTCTAGGTATTTCAGGTGGAGAACAAGCAGCACAAGCCGCTCCCACTCCTTCGCCTCGCTTGTGGCTCCAACCACAAGGAAAGGGATGGGGCCTTGGAAGATTCTGTTGGATTTCTAATGAGGGTTAATTCAAGGTAATCCCTTTCCGTTCTTGGTACGCCTTCACTGGCCTCTCTTTTCACCCTCTTTTGCACAGGCGCCCACGTTCCTCGGCTGTGCAGGCTGCCCCACATGGCCCCCAGCGGGCACCCCATGCCCCACTCTGTGTGGCCAGGCGGGGATGCCACGGTGGGCACCGGAGCGGCCACGTCCACAGGGGCGTCACCCAGGCGTAGCGTGCAGGCCCCACAGCTTGGGATGCCTCCTCCATGGCTGGAGGCCACATCCCATGGCAGGCGGTTGCCCTTCCCCGTTGCCCCCCCCCCCCGTATGGGGATGTGCCCCCGCCACGGCCCCCTGGCTCAGAGTCCTCCTGGCGTGGCCACGGAGCTGCAGGCGCTTGGTGGATGGTCACCGAGTGTGGGAGGCAGGTGGCCGAGGCAGAGGGCTGCCGTTCCTTGGTGGTGGGCCGGCTCCCTCCCGGCATTCCCCGGCCGATCCCCATTCCTCCGTTCTCACCCCCTTTCGGATGGGCGCCTCTCATCCCACGGCCTCATCCCGGAAGCGCAGGTAGCCTGTCTCCTGGCAGGGTCCGGCAGGCGGGCTCGGTCACGCTCGGCCTGTGCAGTAAAGCCCCCTTGCGCCGTCATCCGCCCGCACGGCCCTCAGTGACACAACTCAAGCGCCGAGCGGCGGCTGCGCAGCTCTCTGGGTTTCTCGCAGAAAGTGTGCTGGCTGCGCACAGAGAAGGGGCACACAGCCTGAATGAGCCGCTGTCCGGGCGGGGGCGGGGGCGGGGGGGGCTCCTGCCACTTGTTCCCATGGCAGCGGCCACTTTCCAGCAGCACAGGCCAAAGTGTCCAGCGCTGGACACAGCCTGGCGCTATTTTGGCCAAAGCGATTTGAATGGAGGCGTTGGAGGAGGGCTGGGGGGGGGGGCTGTGCCTGTGCGAGGGGCACTCTCAGTGCATCCCAAGTAGTTAAGGAGGAAAATGCTGGGGTGGAACTGGGCTGCAGTCACCGTGGTCACCACACACCGCCGTGCCTCCTGCCCGCTCGAGTCTGGCAGGCACCCCTGCGGAGAACGAGCGGGCTCCGGAGCGGGGGACACCGGGGCCCGGTGGCCGCATGGAGTCCCCCGCAATCCCCGCACTCGTGTGCCGGACGCCACGGGGGGCAGCGTAAGGAGCAGGCCAGCCACCCCCTTCCTTTCTTGATAGCGGGCAGAGGCGAGGCCCTCTTCCGCTTGGAGCCCTCCCTTCCGGCAGGGCGCCTGGCCTGTGGCACCCTCAGGTTTCACAGCGGAACAGACCAGCACGGCGGCTTTGAAGTACAAGGGGCAGGCAGCGGAGGTGTGGATCGGAGGACTGCGCAGAATGCCGATCGGATCGAGAGGAGGAAGCCGGCTGGAGAGGCGGTGGCCCGAAGGAAGGAGGGACAGAGCCACAGTCCCCGTGCTTCCACTCGCCCCACCCTCCGGCCGCATCGTTGCGCTTGCGTGCACTGCAGCCGTGCCACTCCGGGCATCCAAAAACGGCTTCTCGCAATTTCTTCTTAGTGACCCCTGCCCCTGCTTTTGGCCTCTCCTGCTAGAAATCCCGCCCTGCGACCCTTGGTACCTGAAGTGTGAAAGCCCCCGCAAGCCCCCCTCTGTGGACGGAAGCTGCTCCACGCCTCCGTGGGATTCGTTAGCCGGCGCGGCGGCTGGAGGCGCTCGTGGTCCCATTGGCATCTGGGGCAGCGACTGGGATTGCGCAAAGCAAGAACTTGCGGCAGCCGGGTGTGGTTTCCCCCGAAATGCTGCTCGCTTCTGCCCCAACCAGGCCTGGCCTGTTAACCACAAGCAACCCGTGCAGAGAACCCAGGGGCTGTGCCGGGGTGTGGACCGTGGGCTGTTAACCTGGCTTGGTTGAGCCACAACCCGCTCACACCACATTTGGGGTATCGTGTGTCTGAAACCAGTCGCTCTGAGAATTCTGCCAGGGACACGAGGGCTGGGTGGTCCGTGAGCAGCGGAACGTCGCCCTTGGATGCTGCGGTGTCAAGAGACCACCGGGAGAGCCCCCTCCCGATGCCTGTTCCACACACAGCCGTTCCTTGCCAGCACGATCCATCTGCCAGCTTCACCTGCTCCCGTGTGCAAATCTTGCCAGCCTCCGGTTGTTTCACTCCTGTTTCTGAACAAAGGTGCAGGTTCTGGTAAGTCCACATTAACAAAACCAACTAAGCAATTTTTTCTCCCATATGCGCTGACAAAATTCACTAGGCGCAGCTGCTGTCGGCCTGGAGCAGAATGGTGCCTTCCTGCCATGTAGCTGTTGAAGACTGAGAGCTGCTCAGAAAGAGGGGGGGCACCTTAATTTAGCCCCACCAACATGGATGAATGATCAGGAATTCAAAGCTGGGCTGCTAAGAGAAAATGCCCACAAAGGCTGGGTGGATGAAACCTAGTTTTCTTTCTCCCACACTCATTTTTTAAAAATCCCAAGTTCCTTCCACAGAATTTATGAAGAAATTTATGAATTTTGCTAAGTTTTAATTTTAAAAAATGAATTGCACATTTAACTTATGGTTGTATAAAAAGAAAGTTTTACAACAAAAAAGATCTCTGCCTAACCTATTATGCTGACAGTGATTCCATTTGCCACAGTATAAAAGATGCCGATCTCCTCTGCTTTTATGCAAACTTTCAGGTAATTCATGTCATGTCCGAGCACCTCACACATTCCAGGCGAGCCAGACCTCGGCCAGTAACCAGCTCGTACTATTTCAGCTGCCACTAACAAACTGACCATCGATCCAGGTGGCAATTTAGATCAAAAGGGAAATGGGAGCACGGCACTGGGGGGGCTGGAGCACAGGGCCTCCTTGGTCCCTTCCGCCTCTGCAATTCTACGAGTCCCATTTTGAGATTTGTTATGGGAAATCCAATTACACCAGTAACAGCCGATAGGGGAGGGAACTGTGCATGGAAACCCCGCGGGCGTGGAATGGAGTGACGCCCTCGGCCCCGGGCACCGCCAGCCCCGGGCAAGCCCACCGGGCGTGAGGCCAGTGCGGCCATGTCCCCGGCACGGCCCGGCAGAGACGCGGCCTCCCCGGCGCCGGAGCCGTCCGGTTCCTGCCAGCGGCGACACGGGCGGAGGCCGCCTCGGGGCTCTGAGCCCACCGGGACCAGGAGGCGACCAAGGCCCCGCAGAGGCTTTCCCGCCACATGCTGCAGCCACGTTCTCAGTCGGCCTCCCGGGCTCTTCGTCCCCTCCGGGCAGCTGCAGCGGGAGGGGCCGCTTCCTTCGGCCGCCCTCCCCCGCGCGGGGCGGGCAGGAGCCCCCGGGGGGGGGGGGCTAAGCGCCGCGTGCGCCCCGAGGTCGCTCCCGCTCTGCACGGCGCTCGGGGGGGGGGCGGGCTGCCGCTTCAGCAAAGCACGGGGACGCACGAGGCGCTTCCTCCGCGGGGACCCGCGCGCGGCCGGCCCGAGATGCCGCGGGGGCGGTCGGAGCGCTGGCCCTCGCCGGCGGGCGGGCGACCCAGCTGGCCCCTCTCTCGCCCCGCTCTGGGCGTGCAACCTGCAGGGCTGGCCGGGAAGCCCGAGCACGCACGGCGGGCCTCGTGGGGCCCGGAGGGAGGGGATGGTCCCCGGGCAGAGCCGGCCCGAGGCCGCCCAGGCGGGGGCAGGGGCTGAGCGTCGCCCGGAGAGGGCGGGCTCGCGGGAAGGCTGTGCAAGAGGCTCGGCCAGGGTTCACGGGATTTCGCGGGGGGGGGGCACAGGTCGTGCCCTGCTCCCACGTCTCAGTGCTGCGTGTCCCCGGCTCCTGTCACCCAACTCTCCCTCCCGAAAACCACAAGGCCCAGATCGGCCAGGCAACACTCCGCGTTGCCCCGCTTTCCTCCCTAACCGGTTTTTCCTCGGGCGCGGGGGGGAGCACAAGGCAGCTGCGGATCGGGGGCGTGTGTGGACGGGGAAAGCCGGAACCGCTCCGGACGCGGGGTCCGGCCGCCGCGCGCGGGAGCGAGCAGCTCGGGCACCGCCGTGGGCACGATCCGCCCGTCGCGCTGCAGCTGCCGGCGCTCCCGCGCGCCTTCCCGGGGGGGAAGCCCTTTGCCTGGAGGGAGGAGCGGGGGGCCGCGGGCACGGCCGCCCCGCTGGACCGGCGCCCGCGAGCCAAGCGGGGGGCCGCGGGCGCCGCCTCCGCTCCGCTCCGGTCCCGCCTCGCGTCGCGTCG